TCCAAAATCTAAATCTATTATATTTTGGAAAGTATGCATAATGCCTTTGATTTTTTTATTTGAAAGTGAACGATAGTTTGATATTTTGAGATGAGTTAGTTTTGAGCTATAAACTAGTCTTCTTCCCCTTTACGTACTATTTTAAAAAATCTTTCCAATTGAGATCTATCATCTACTTCATTCCCCTTTAGCTCAATACGTCTCCATAAAATAGGACCACCACATCTATACCAAAACCGGCAAACAAATAGGGTAGGATACAGTGTCTTATCTACTGCTAGGGAATATAGAATCCGTTCTAATAGTTCTGGTATAATAAAAATACTTGAATATGCCATGCGAAGCACCTTTGGCTAAATATTCTATTTTATATGTTGTATCTTTAAACAAAAAATAAAATTAGCCGAGTCTAGTTCGCTGGTAGATCACTGCTCCAGACTAGCATTGATTGGGCGAGACTTTAATGATAGTGCTTGGTCTCTTCCTTCTAAATTTCTTTATAGGATAATATGTCAGTGGGCGTTCATAGGACCGTGTCTCTGACTTCTTATCTAGTACTTTTATTCGCTCATTTAATGAGGATATTAGCTCATTGCATATCTTACCTGTTATCGAAAGATAACCAGAATCCATATTTATCTGATTCCTTCGCAGTACCTTCTTTTTAGGTCGATGACATTTACAATTACCTGACCTGGCCCCTCTGAGTCCATTTTCTCTACCCATTCATCAGATTCTTCAGAAGACTCAGACGAATAGGAGAAACCCTTATGCACAGCGCCTTTCAGCCCTTTTTTACCAATCAGCGAGGAAACTATTTCTTATATTAAGTCGACTACAGTTTCCCTATCCACACATTCGTCTAGATCCTCCAATTCGATTTTTAAGGATCTTATGTCTTTTTCCAGTCTTTTTACCCTCTTTTCTAAAGTGTTATATTGGGGATGACAATCTTCGAATTGTTTCTTTAATTCCTCTGTTATACTGAAAACTCTATTACACACTTCTGCATTTAACCGGGCTATTTATTCTGTACTTGGGATAACTTCCTGCTCACTAGCTATATTATCAGATGAATGCTTTTGATCGGTTACCATTTTCGTGATATATTATATACGCCATATCTTGCTTCGAACAAAAAAAATATAAATTAAAAAATGATACCCTGATCCTCTAACCAATATATGTGATTAGTTTTCATCAAAGAGCTTGAATACCGTTGTCTGATCATAAGGCTGTCCACGAGGTCTGTAATTTACTATAGTATACCTCTGCGATGACGCAGTGTTATTTTTAGAACTATGTTGAAGTACTTGACTAGCGATAGTATTAGCTTTCAATAGATTCCTAATCTCACTCACTACAACTGCAAATACAGCTCCTAAATTATGTAAGGAACTAGGAAGTAATGGCTTACCAGTTTTGGGAAGAAATTCAGTTTTTTTCAGAAACCTACTCAAGATTCCAGTTCCAGGCGTTCCTGGGTCTCCTAACTATCTGAAAGATATTGCTTCCTGAATCCATGTAAGCAATTGCCTTGCCTGCTCCTCATTCTTTTCAAGTGATCTAAACACCTGAGGAATATCCTGTTGACCTCAGTTTTTTACGTATCCTGTTACACCTCCATTAGATATACGCAAATTTTTAATTTCAGCTGGACGGATACAGAGTATGATCATTACATCAGCTAGGGCCTGTTTGTCAGGTGTATTAGATACATCATACAAATCCAGTCTCTCCTTAACTGATTCTAACGAGAAGTGGTCTGGATAATGAATTCCTTCATCTTCGCATAATAAACTCTTTTCCTTTTGGATTTTATTTGATAAAGTGGTCATCTCTGGAATCTTCGTAGCTTCAATTATTGCCTCTAGGGCATTAAGCTTCCGCAATTCCATTCGGAGCCTACTGAGACTAAATGTGCAGGCAACTGGATTAGGGGATATCTCAGCTAATGCTTTAGCTATAACTTTTACTTCTTTTTCACCAAGGCTGTCCCGCATAATACGCTGAGCCATTTCTCTAATAGTTTCTCCTTCTGGAATAATATCAGATACTTGGCAGATGCTTTTAGCACAACATATATTCACTTCTGCTTCTGTCGCTCCTTCTTTGGAGGTTACTTGACTTTTAGTTTGACCAGTTCTTTGAGAAGGTATCAACGCAAATGCTTGTTCTTTACTAAAGTTATATTCTTTTTGAAGCTGATCGCGAGCCTGACGTCTTTTCTCTCTATCACCTGGTAAGAGCTCAAGTATTTCTGGCGCATACCGGCTAAGCTCTTCGAGACTCATTTTATTGGTGAGTTCGTGGTCTGTAACGAACTTAGTTGTAATAGCAAACATGTTGTGTAAGTAGACTATAGTGGTAGTTAGATTAATCTGTGGTATTCAGATTATATATTGTGGGATAAAGTTCAATTCGAAAAAAATAAATAATTGTTCTGACATCTATGGTCGGTAGGCAAAAGAATATTATAACTTATTGCAGGCTCTCTAGGCCAGTTCACTTTATATATATTTTAAAATTGGCCGAAAGGCGCTGTGTATGGGTAGATAGGATATGCGAAAAATAATAATAATCCTTCTCAAAATAAATCTTTGATTGGGGGGCGCTCTTTACCAAAGCATACCATTCTCCTGGAGTATACTTATTGTTTTTTTCCATTTCTCATCGGTATCAAGCCACGAGGTTGTGACTCCCTTATCCTCAAACCTGCGATGGATTATTTCTTCCCCTATTAATCTTTCACGTACCATTATGTCCATATCTTCTTTAGGATCATCCTCCATCTCTATAGCCCAACCACACATTCTTGAATCCATTTCCATCCTATCCCGGAATGTGGGTGAATCATGTTTATCTTTTTCTGTGATGGTTACGAACTTTTCAGGATCTTTACCGAGCTCAACTGCCCTTTTTCTGAGACGCTCTTCTCGCTGTTGTCTAGCTAGGAGTATAGCAGACAATACTTGATTGATAGGCTTAGAAGAATCGCACTCGTCACTTGTTTCTTTTAGAGGCATATCCACCACTTTGCTGATAGACTCGATAGATTCGGGAAGCTTGCTAATCTCAGGTTCATCGATTACTGGCTCAGGTGTTTTAGAAGTCTCAGATGTGCTAGATGATGAAGCAACTGGAACACGTGTATCTTCTACCACATAGTCAGAAAGAGTCTAGGCCAATTCATCCTGTTTATCCGCCTTCTTATCCCTTGGAGGGAGTTTCTTTTCTGGTTGAGGTGGGGCTATTTTTGAGGGAGTGATTTCTGGCACATTGAATATGGGTATATCTGTAGTCTCATTTTCGGGTAAGTTGAGTTGAGGTGTATCAGAAAATTCTTTGATATCACCTAAGCCGAATTCACAAAGCTTGGCTACGATCTTGAAACGATCAAGAATATACTGATATACACTTACTCCATTATCTCGTGAACGTGTCCGATCAATACTAATTAGTGAAAATTTCTTACCAGCGACCTTATTAGTTAATGGCTTTTCTCCATTAGACCTGCACCATTCGATACATTTTTACAGCCAAACCTGCTAATCTGATTTTCAGGCCAAGTTGTAATATAATCAATTATAAATCGAATAGGATTAGGAAGTTGCTCTCGCATTGTTTCTATCTTCATCTTAGTTGCAAGAATTTTTCCTGGACTCCAATTTGATAAATCACGGCTAAGGAGATACGACATGACTACTCCAGGTGCATCAGGATGGTCTAGAATACCCTCTAGCCGGTCAAAATATGGTATATTACCTCTATAGCATGCAGAGACATCAAAACAGACTATACGAGAATCACCTATGTCTATTTTGAGTGAAACATCCTGATTGCTTGTAACTATATACCCAGCATAATCATTTATTCGTATAGTTTTAAGACCCTTACGTTCTATAGCTACCATTCGTTCTGTTATGAGTGATTTGAGATGCCCGCTAAATCTATGCCATTCACCACTAGACATCCCTGTCTCATTTATAACAATTAGCTTTCGAGCTTGAATGGCACTATTAAAATGCCCAAGAATTTTTTCCAAATCTGAAGTTGCAAAATGGAGATGTGACCCCAAGACTTTATCACTAATAAAGTCAGTAATAATATTTTCCCGCACTGTTGTAATGTAGATTTTAGTACCAAGATTGTCCGGGATTTCATCTCTGATTTCTACACTAAATGTGCCCACCAGTTCCAGATATATTCGTTAAGTTTTTCATCTCCACTACAGATTACGTCCTTTACATGCCAGAGAATTGGATTTATAATTTCTTTATTAATTTCTGGCACTAGCTTAGCCAAAAATCCTATAAAAAGATTAAAGAACTTTGTATCATGAGCTGGAGTATTTAACGAATATGGAAGAAAATTAATATTGCAGTAAAGGATTAGACCTTTGGTAACCGCCCGATCTATTAGATTAATTAACTTCACTGGCTCTCCTCCTAGCTCAATTAAGTTATAGTCCACCATTCGTATCTTCTGTTTTGAGCACCCATAATCTTCATGTTGTTTGAATACAGGCGACTGTTGCCTGAATTGCGTTATAAATCTCATTACGGGAAAATTTCTGTCCAGATACACATATATCTATTAGATCACCCCATACAAAATAATCATTGGGATTTGAAATTCTAGATTGTTCTAATTTTACGGGACTTGGAAGCTTTTGTTCTCGATCCAAGGTAGTTTCGCTAATAGTAAGTTTTTTCAAAGGTTTTCTGGAGCTGGGTTCCCTATCATTGTTTGTCCAGTAGCAGAAAAAGCTGTAGGATTTTTTATTTCGAATAATATATGCATTATCACTATCGTGTTCTCAGTCACATATTGGACAGTGTGATGGAGAGATACGCGATAGTGGAAATTTATCAGGAAAATTTTCAGATGGATATGAGAGACTATACCCTTCGATGCTAGCCTCTTGAAGTAATGTCTCTACTAGTTCGAATTCAGCTATGGTTGTCTCATTACTTATGTTAGCATATTATATGCTTTCTGTCTTTGAAACAGCCAAGAGAGGACTGTTGTCGATGATTTCTGATTCATCATTGGGTGGGCGGATCATGAAGTCGAAGATAGATCCATCTTTTGAACAAATAGCTTTTTTTATACGAATGTGTTCCTCTGTTTTTTCATTGTATTTGGGTGATCCAAGCATTCGCAAGGAAAATGATCATTGTTTGCTATGTTGTCTACAATACCTTTATCCTGTAATCCTGCTAGGAGTTTTTTACGAACAAGCTCAGTAAATATTGCAACCTGAGCAATGCTTGGAAGTCTCATACCAAAAGTTGAGATATTTTTTTCGCATTACTACTATCAGCTATGGATATATTTTTTTTATTCCATTTTGGGAAATTTCTAGACAGACATCTCTAAAAGCATTGCAAAATGTGTTTTTAGCCTGTTTGTCTGATAGCTTAGATGAAATAGCATTTAGCATTTCTATTGGCAAATCGAAATCTATGATAGAACGGAGAGGCTCATCACCATCAATAATCTCGTGTAGGGAATGCCTTTCACAATCTGAGAGTATTGCCTCTATCTCATCCGCATTATCTGCGCTAAGGAAATATCTTGGTTTAACACTATCATCACGAATTTTATATAAAGATACACCTATATCAGAGAGTTTGAACCCACAATAGTACGGGTCGGAGGGCGTGTCAGAGAGGAACTCTGAAAGCTCAGTTTGAGTCATGGTATTTTTTTTTAGAATATGA